AGAACATCTGCATGGTATCCCCTCTTTCCTATAGACCAGGGGTCACCAAACCATGGGCCACAGGCCAGTACTGGAGGTACAACCATATACCTACAAGAGTGGCAATAAAGTAACATGCGTGAATCATCCCCAGACCACCCCTGACCCCCACCCGCAACCCATGGAAAAATTGTCTTCCACAAAACCAGACTCTTGTGCAAAAAAGGTTGTTGACTGCTGCTGTAGACATACATGGAGGTCCTCCCTGCTCTTGTCCCTCCCCCCTTCCTGCCTTTCACATTGCTCTTACTGGGATGCTCTCCCATCTTTCTAGATCATGCCAGTCTCCAGCTCAGTTTGATACTGCCTCTTTCCTGCAGCCTCTATCCACCCTGCAGGCTTCTCATATTTGCACATGGCTATTCTACTAGGATCTTGCTGTCGCTTCCTCAGGAAATTGAGTTCAAGCACCAAAATGAGATCTTCTCTCTCCGTATCACTCTCTCAGACCATGAGCATGTGTTCACTCCATCTACGTTCGCTGAGTGACTACTATGTGCAGGCACTGATCCAGGCTCTGAGAATGCAGCTGTGAACAGAGTCTCCACCTAGGGAGCAAACACTCCCAATGCACAGAGGGATGATAGAGCAGCAGGAAACACATAAATGATGCAGTCTCAGGTGACGTCGACATGATAAGTGCTCTCAATACAATCAAACCGGCAGGGCTGGAGCTTGAGGAGACTATTCCGGATGAGTGGGCCGGGAAAAGTCCACAATGAGGTGAAGGCATGGCTTTGTAAAGGTCTAGGAAGGGGAGACCAAGCTGGGGGTGGGCAGCAAGGGTACAGGCCTGGCTCAAGTGAGGACTTGGTGCGCTGACGGATGGCAGGAAGGTCAGTGTGTCACCTGAAGGGTGGGCGAGTGGGGGTGGCTGAGGGTCAGAGGCCAGCAGGACAGGAGCAGGGGTAGAAGCAGGGGCAGGGAGGACCCTGAGGGCCATGGGCAGGTCTTTGCATTGTGTCTTAAGTGAGCGAGGAGGTTGGGAAGGGTTTCAAGGAAGAGAATGACATGGTTTGAGGGATTGGAGGGGAAGATGGCAGTTGGGTGCCACTGTAGTGACAACAGCTGGGGGGGGTGCTAAAATGTAGTTTCATTATTATTGTAGGCAAGACCAACAGGCAGGAGATGACTGCCTTCGAGAAAGATAGCTTGTTACAGTTCCCTAAGGAGGGGGACTCTGCCTTGCAAACCAGTACTGTTTTGGGTAAGTGGCTTGGAAGGGATCACAGTGAAGTAAAGCACCAGGTCTGTCAGGATCAGGAGTAAACAACTGGAAGGTGGGAGCAAGAGCCCTGTTACAGTTTCCATGGGAAGAAATAGGCAAAGCAGGGGAATTGGGCGATGTGGGGTTAGCACTGGCGAGTTTGGGTCATTGTATGGAATTCTCGAGTGTAGGGGTTTTCCAAGTTGTCTGGTGCCTGGCCCAGGGATGGTCAGGGAGATGGTTAGTGACTTGGAGTACAAGAGCTCAGTAGAGGAGGTGGTTAAAGATAGGGGTTTAGGATTGGCTGGTCTGTATATAGAAAGGTGTGCTCTTACAGTTCCCTACCTCTAGAGATTAGCAAAGTCTAGAAGGAGAAAGCTCTCCAGAGTCAGCAAGTTCACAAGATGTCAAAGTATCATACAGAAAATATAAAATAATGTGGGCATGGGGTGGATTAGTCCGTTATTGTCCTGCTACACAGCAAGAGCTGAGATGGTGATTTATAAAGAACAGAGGTTTATTGAGCTCATGATTTGGGTGGCTGGAAAGTCCAAAGGCATGGGGCTGGCATCAGGCTGGCCTCACAATAAGGCAACAGAAGAGAGGAGGTAGGCACACACACAAAAAAGTGTATCTCACTCGATACTTAAATTCTTCCACCCAGAGCAGAGCTTCAGTTCCCAAATGGGGTCACCCACGTGGAAGGTACAAGATCCTCATCAGAACCTTTCCTGAGAGCTGGCTCTTGAGTGGAGAGTGGTGGCCACAGGCAGACAGGATTATAAGAGGACTTGCAGGACTGAGAATCGTGCCATCACCACCCACGGATGTGCTCCAACCTGTCCCGCTCCTGTCCCCACTGCCCTCCTCCATATGGGTGCACCCTCTGCTGAACAAAGCCATGCCTGGCTCTGTCATGAAGGTGTGGCATCATGAAGACCTGGACACTACCAGGCTCACCCCAGTCCACAACTGTGGTTGGCAGTGCTGGGGAGAGAGGATCTTCAAGGGTGGTCTTTCAAGAATGAGGGGACCACCAGAGCTCCAAGTCTAAAACAATGCTTTCTGTTTTGGGCCAAATTGTGCCTCCCACCTCCAATTAATATTTCGAAGACCCAACTCCCAGCGCCTCTGAATGTGACTGTATTTGGAGATAAGGTCTTCAAAGGGCTAACTAGGTTAAAATGAGGCTAACAGGGTGGGCCTCACCAACTCTGACTGGCATCTTTAGAAGAGGAAGTGGAACCAGGAGCTTGTGTGTGTCGATCATGTGAAAATGAGGCTAACAGGGTGGGCCTCACCAACTCTGACTGACATCTTTAGAAGAGGAAGTGGAACCAGGAGCTTGTGTGTGTCGATCATGTGAAAGGCCACAAGAGGGCAGCCAACAGCAGGCCCATGAGAGAGACCATGGAGGAGCCCCACCCTGTTGGCCCCTTGATTTGGGACCTCTAGTCTCCAGAACTGAGGAAATCAATCCCTGTTGTTCGGGCCACCTCATTTGTGGTATCAGCCAGGTTAACATACTATCTCTTCCCTCAGCCTGGTTCCACCCCCAACAACAGCTGAGGAACACTGTCTCGTGACAATGATATGCACCTAGAAACACCAGGTGTCTCAAGCTCTCAGCCCCCAGGGGTCTGGCAGGCCACAGGAATGAGGCCTGCAGTCATCTCACCTTCAAACCTTCCAACTCAAATGTTGGAAGGCAACGCTGGCTCCCAGCCACTCACTCCCTGCATGGGTCCTAATAACGTCTGAATCCTCTCTCTGATCTTCCGTTTTCTTCCGCCTGTTACTATGATGACAGCAAGTCATCCCTCACTGTCACTGTACACCGTAAGTCCCTGTCACACAGTGAGTACAACCTGCACAGGTAAAATATAACCCATGTCCTTGATTCAATCATGCAAATTGGACACCGTGGAAAGTACCTCGAGTGCTTGTGACGGAGGAAAATAACACACACCCTGTAGGTACCAGTCATCTGGGTCCATCTTTAATCATGTTAAATATTCATAAAAGTACAGCATAACTGATTCACTTAACATACCTTACACGACTAAGGGAGTACAGTTGAATACAATCCGGTGCACAGCTTTAGGGAACACAAGGAACTTCAATACCAGGTCATGAGAAACGCTCTGTTTCGCTTTGGTTTTGGATGACAGGCTAGAGAACCACTGCCCAAACAGTACCTGTGCTGTCAATGAGAGGCAGGCTTCAAATGAGAGAAAGCAAAGGCAATATATATGCCCTTTGGACAAAGGCCCCTTAAGAGAAAAACCGTGTTTGGATGGCATTGATTGGCACAGAAAAGATGGGCCTGCATATATAAAAAAGATCCATATAATAAACCAAATAATATTGGAAATAATACCTTCAGTAATACTTCTGTAAGAAGCGGAATTATACTACATGTTCTTCACATGCACAGGAGGGCATAAGAAAAATCCCTGTTGTCATTATGGTTGGTGTAGAATAGTAAAATATGTACTGGAAACGACAAGTTAATTGGCAGAGAAATTAATTTATAAAAGGGTTGTGTCCAGAGCGGAGGAGCCTCATCAGCATCAGACTGAAGGGAACCCACTCAGAAAATGCACCCACCCACATACACGCACACACACGCACTCTGTATTGCAAATAAATACACACACACACTGAAGTGATATCTCCCTAAAGCATCCTTGTGCTCAGGCCAGATTTCCCTGTTGGCTGCTGCTCCAAGTGCTCTTAACAGGAGGAATGTGCTGAGTTACAAAGCAAAGAGATAGCATTTCCAACTGCTGTGCTTGTGGGAAATGGAAATTGGAAGCATTACAATGAGCAGGAAAGCTTGACTTGCCCAGGAAATACTTTCTTGAGAACTGTTACACTGATAAGAAAAAGGAATCAGATTGACTAGGTGGTAGGACACCAGGAAAGCCCTGACAACATATGTTGGCAAGCAGTTTTGAGTTCCTAGAGACTTTAGTTCGAATAAAAAGAAGTTAGAGATAGTTCAAGAAGTCAGAATGGGTGGGATGGAAGGCCTTGTACATAAACGATTAGAATTAATTGCTAGACATGTAGAAGCCCTCAAATGTGCCCATAAAATTGTGAAACTCTGGTATGATTGTTTTGATGGTGGTCGACAGAGAGTTTAGTACAGAAAGGAGAGATAGGAAAGCAATTTAGCAAACTACAAAAAATATCTTAGTATTATGCCAAACTTTAAATAAGTTACTTTTCTGCCTGAGTGTCCTATTTTGTAAGCAGAAATAATTTTATTGCCCACCTTATTGGGTCTTGGTGTGCTTTAAACTATGCTAATATTTGTGAGTCACTTAGAACAGTGGGAAACATAAGAACTTAAAATGCTAGTTGTTATTCTTGAAAGTGAAGATTGCCACTGAGGTCTGATGAAAATGTTGACCCAAGAGAAAAAAAAAAATCAGGTTAAACCACAAAATTAAAATAATGCTAAAACCAATGTGGAACCCTCAAATCCAATTACATAGCACTAAACAGAACTCCAGTACTTCTTTTAAACGGTAGCCAAAATTAAATTTGGGAAAACGATAGAAATAAAAATGCAAAGTAGGAAAGAAACACTGTAGACCTTTTTGCAAAGGAATTGCTTTCTGGGGTTTTTTGTTTTTGTTTTTGTTTTGTTGTTGTTTGTTTTTCTGAATGCAAACTAAAATGATTCATTTCAATGGAGCTTTATAAATTTGAGATCAGTCATTCTTTAAGTGATTTCCTCCTAAGGGAGTACAGTTGAATACAATCCGGTGCACAGCTTTAGGGAACACAAGGAACTTCAATACCAGGTCATGAGAAACGCTCTGTTTCGCTTTGGTTTTGGATGACAGGCTAGAGAACCACTGCCCAAACAGTACCTGTGCTGTCAATGAGAGGCAGGCTTCAAATGAGAGAAAGCAAAGGCAATATATATGCCCTTTGGACAAAGGCCCCTTAAGAGAAAAACCGTGTTTGGATGGCATTGATTGGCCCAGAAAAGATGGGCCTGCATATATAAAAAAGATCCATATAATAAACCAAATAATATTGGAAATAATACCTTCAGTAATACTTCTGTAAGAAGCGGAATTATACTACATGTTCTTCACATGCACAGGAGGGCATAAGAAAAATCCCTGTTGTCATTATGGTTGGTGTAGAATAGTAAAATATGTACTGGAAACGACAAGTTAATTGGCAGAGAAATTAATTTATAAAAGGGTTGTGTCCAGAGCGGAGGAGCCTCATCAGCATCAGACTGAAGGGAACCCACTCAGAAAATGCACCCACCCACATACACGCACACACACGCACTCTGTATTGCAAATAAATACACACACACACTGAAGTGATATCTCCCTAAAGCATCCTTGTGCTCAGGCCAGATTTCCCTGTTGGCTGCTGCTCCAAGTGCCGGCTGCAAGAGAAAAGGAAGGATTGTCCCTGAAAGTGGGCGTTCAGGACACACAGCTCCTTCAGTAGCAGAAATAGCCCTGGCCAGGCCAGTTCTGAGAGCCCCCCGCACGTCTTTAGATAGGCTGTGCATCCCTTCTCCAATAGCAGGAAGACAACTAGGATCGAACAGCTAAGCAACTGCAGATCTCCCGCCACTGAGGCCCTGTCACACACATGAGTTATGGCTGGGCAGGTAGGTATTTTCACTTTCTGACATAGGCTTGACCCAAGAACTTTGGTTCCCAGGAGGCTTCCCTTGACAATACTCAAGTGTGAAGTCTTGTCAAGTACCCACCAGGGGCTGCACGCCAAGTGGGCTCAAGTATCTCTTTTGTCTTCCCCATGACTTCCAAGCTGCCGAGCAGCCTAGAAAGTTTCATTAAGAACATGGCTCCTGGCAATCTCATTCAAAATCCAGCATACCATGCTCAGCACAATTTAGCTTGTGCACTGTTTCTGAATCAGGACACAAGTATCTTCTAGTTCCTTAATTGGGTAAGAAACTTTGACCACATATAGTGGAGAATGTTCATGATAAACTTAATGGGAAGGTGTGAAGACAGAGTGGTAGCCGCCGGCTCTCTGATGACCTCGTTCACACAGTGAGGGCTTGAGTTACCTCAGTTTTCCGTAAGTGTTTGTTCCTTGAGGTCGCTCATTCTGACACTGACAGCAAAAAATTTCTCTTAGAATTATAAACTGAAATTTCGTGAGGAAAGATCAAAAGAGGCAGAAAACAGAGCCAGGGCTAGACCAATTCAGCGAGTGGTTTGTTTTAAACGTGTTCATCCTCTATGTTAAACATCAGGAAAGTCTACAAGCACAGGATGGGAGAGGCCGGAGTGATGAATGTGCTGCCAAAACTTATTTTTTTCCTCTTGGAAACAGGGAAGTTAATAGGTTCCTATCTGAAGAGACTGAAGGGCTAACTTTGGAGTAAAAAGGAAAAATTGAAAGGGCCTCCAACCTCAAAGAGTCTCACTTCTCTGCCCAGATGCAGTGAGTGATCTAAACAAGAGTGTTTCAAAAGTGAGAGATAAGTGTGAAATTCTGGCAAGCTGGTGGCATGACCCCTGGCCTGCTTAACTGGACTTGGGATTGTCAAAGCCAGACTCGGACTCTCCTGAAGGACTGCAGGGCTGGGCGGTGGCTCTGTTTCCCTCTCCACATGCAGGGCAGTGACAGCCTGCCTCTCCCAGGACTCCAGGTGCACATGGAGCAGAAGGGAAGCAGAATTGGCTCTTCCAATGGCCTCAGACGGTGGAGCTCTGCGAGGGGCCAGTTGCTGAGCTATTTAGCATCATGAAGGAAATTCTGAAATGGTTATAATTAACATGTGCCTAAGGTGAGAAGGATGACTCCAATCCTGGGGGTTTTCTCCACACTATGGTTCCCCACAAAGAGAGGTTTTTAAATCCTGGTCATGATGGGCCCAGGGCCTGGAGTGGGAACTCAGCTCTCTCGCGTCTTCCATGCAAACGCTTCATCATCAAGAACCTGAGCCAGCCTGATGTTAAACGGCCCATAGAAGTCCCGCAGAATCTTCTGTGTGACTGGCCACATGGGCCCCAGATTCCGGTCTTCAGGGCGCCGTGCATTAGATGCCGGGTTCTTTGTCATCAAGGCCTCTTGCTTTTCACTTAAGGGTCCTGGAATAAAAGGAAAAGAATCCCGTGAGACAGGAAAAAAAAAAAAAAAACTGCAAAAATCCCAAATATGTTTCATATGAAGGCAGGAGTTTCCTTTAAGAAGAATGTGTTTGGGAATGAAAATTCTTTGGCTTGATTTAGTTTGGAGGAGCTGAGGAAGGAAGGTGGAAATACCATTAAGAAATAGCAATGACATTGCGGCCCAGTGTGTAACGCCCATCCTGGGGGAGCCCAGCAAGTATTTCCAGATGATGCAGCATTCACTTGAGGCTTACCTTGTGGGTTCATTTCCAGCTGCCCTTAGTGGGCTGCTTTCCGAGGCTGTCAGACTGTCCTGGGATAACTGTGTGACACTCCAGGCATAGTCAATGAACTTAGATTTTCCTGCTAAATTTCTGCCACAGTCACTTCTACTTTTGGCTGTTGATGCTAAGGGCCCTGTGACTGGGCCCTATTTTACCCTGAGTGTGTCTTACTGTGAAGTGGCTATAAGGAGGAGGGTGGGGAGGGAGGCCAACTGTGTGCCCACAGACTCTACTGGTTGACCCTTCTCTTGCAGCAAGGATATTAGTGAGGAGAGGCCTTGGAATGAGCCAGCAGGGGCTGCCAGCTGAGGCTGCCACCTCCATACCCTAGTCCTCTGGACACAAGCATGTCTCTGGCTTAACCCACTAGGTCACTTCTCATGCCTCTTTACTATAGGTCACAGCCCTTAGGCCATACCCACAAAAAGTCAATTTCCATCTCCTGAGATTATAGGAGATACAGAGTGGGCCTTATAGTTCATCTTGGCAACAAAAGACAAGTTCATGGGACCAGCAGATAGAGTAATGGCTATGTTGCTGGACTCCCATATAGTTGGCTGCAGTTCAACTTCCAGATCCAGCAGCTTAAAACACACTGGGTGTGTGTATGTGTTTGTGCCTAAGATCCCAAGAGGAGAATGGAGGAGAAGTGATTGTGGTGTGGCCATCCCCCCAGGAAGTGATTTCTCACTTTCTGTCTCTCCAGTGAGTACATACACCCTATAGCAAAATATCTCTCTGAGAAAATAAAAAGGACAAGCTCATTAATGTGAGAGTCTACAGGTGGCCAATTCAAAGGAAAATGGATCCAAGCTTTAGAAGAAAACACAGTAATCATGCCCCATCACATGACCAGTTATTCAAAAAAAGGAGAAAGAAATCAAATGACTAAAGGGTCCCAATTCTCAGTGGTGGGCAGATGTATTTTAAGAAATATTCAATTAACAAAACAAGTCCACAGGTGGTGTTCTGGGAAGGGATGTGGCTTCTTCTGACCCTGCTTCAGCCTTTCAAGCAGCCCTTGGGTGTCCCGTCCACAAGGGCAGCATGCCCTGCCTGGGAACACACACCTCTGCTGCCGATCCCCATGGCCGATGACATGGCCTGTTACCATGTAGTACTCCTCAGGATTGTGGGGCTGGCATCTTCAGGCCAAGGGCAGGCCTCCCATTTCCAGAGACATAAGAGCCGTGGCTGGAAGTCAAAACCCAGCCATGACTCTGACTCCAGGATTCCCCAGCAATTCTAACATGATACAATGACCTCTCCATTCCTTCCTTCAGGGCCTGTATCCTCGGTTCTGGCCACCTAATGACATCCTGTCAGCCCTTCAAAGATAAGCTTTCAGACCATTTCTTTCCATAAACCCTTTAGGAGCTGGGATGCCAAGTCATCAGAGTATACCTACTGATGGGGCTAACTTTCTCCTATGTCTTACTACTAGTTAGTTAGAGCTGTAGCTTCATCCTCACCTCCTGATAGACTGTAAGCTCCCAGAGGGGAAGCCCTCTCCTGCCCAGGGAATCCCTCATCACATTGTGCACAATACCCTACAGGCAGTTGGTGCTCAATGCATAGGTATTGAACTGGCCTTGCAGCTCAGGCAGTCCCTCCCCAGCATAAGTCTGCATTTGACCCAGGAAGCCCTAAGAGAGTGGCATTCATGGAGCTCATGGTCTGCTCTACTGGCCTAAAGGACAAAGTTCATACCTAGGTTCAGGAACTGGAAGACCCTGTGCATGGTGTACTTGACATTGGATGCATGATCTTCGAGGCGAAGAATCAGGAACTGCTCCTTATTAAAGACAGTGAGCCAGTCCAGAAGGTACACAGCATACAGCCCAACCTGGAGCCTCACCTAGGACCAAAGAAGGAGGGTGTTATTTTAGAAGTAATTCCAACGAATTCCCTAAGGCATTTTCCCAAACTATTAGGCATTTCACTGTAAATTATATAAGAGTTACCCTGGCCAACAATCATGGTCAGAAGTTGGATTTTAACACAGTATGTTCTTGCTTCTTTGTGAGGGGTTTTGTATGACACACATACAAAATTCCTGCACTTGGGGTTGCATTTACTCCTCACAACAACCTGTAAGTAGGTCCACACCTCCATTTCACAGGTAAAGGTTGAGGTACAAAGAAAAGGTCAAAGTTGCACCAACCAATGAATGTGTTCCCTGCATGATATCCTGACTGTCTCTATTCTCTCTGATCTTTGAACCCAGCACATGGGCTGTGAAAAACCAACTGCAGAGGTCTCAAAGACAGTGCAGGTGAGTGAATAGTCAATTACCTGCTACTGAATGGACATCTGTAAGGGTGTGTGCACGTTCGAATTTATAGTGAGCACTGAGCAAAGTCAATAGGTGGACACTCAAATCACATATCCATATTACCCACCCATTTCCTGTGTCCTTATCCCTCTGTTTCTCTTTTGCACCAAAGTATGAACTCATGTAGCAAAGAATTTACCCTACTCAAAGACGCGTCTGGCCTCTGCCCTCAGCTACTGGAAGGTGATCTCTAGGCCCTCAGATGTTGTGCCTAACTTGGGGGCTTTGGCCATGGACAGGCTAAAGCTGTGATTTATGATGAGACTTTGGGTCACACAGTATTAGTTTGACTTCCAGCTGGACTAGAGACTAAAGGTCAGACACACGGGCAGTATGTAATCTAGTTCTAGATAAGAACTCTGGACAGCAAAGGCTTAGGTTGGCCATGTCCATGAGTACTGTCACACATCACACTGTGATGCCATGGGAAAGAGCGACCGAAGTGCTGCATGTGGAGTCTTCCTATACTTGCCCCATACACTGCTTCCACTGACTGGTTCTAAGCTGTGTTCTTTCCCTGCAATAAATCATAATCATGAGTATAAGAGCCTCCAGAGGGTTCTGGGAGTCCTTCTACCAAGTCATGTGCTCCCCCTTAAGCTTGTAATTGGTGTCAGAAGTGGGGGAATCTTGGAAACTGTTCCCTCTAACTTTGTAGCTGGGCCTAAACTCTTAGCAAAGCTCCAGACCAAAAAAAAAAAAAAAAGGGCCTCTTCCCCTTTCTCTCTGAGATCCTCTTCTCCAGGGCTTCTCCTCTTGTCCTCTCTCCATGTCCCCACGGACCCTATTTCCAGTCTTCTGCTCTGCCTGTCTGTGGTCTACCCAGCATTTCTCCTCTCCTACCTCTCCCCAGTTCAGTGTCACTCACTTGTGCACACCTGCCAACATTTGCCTGAACACTGACCAGTCTCTAGATGGGTCCTCACACTTCCAGTCTCTGCATGCCCACCCCTTGCCCTGTCACCAGCATAAACTTTGTAAGCAGTGACCAGGCTATGGCTGACCCCTGCTCAAAGCCTGGATCTCCATAAGCAGAAAGTCCCTGGTTTGTCTTGAACTTGTGCTCCTCCATGGAGTACCTCCCTATTCCCCAGGCTCCTCTGCCCAGTCCCCTTTCTCTAGGTAGACACTCCCACATATCGTTTCCCTTTCTTCTCAGCCTGACCTTGAGTTCCTCAAGGGCAGAGACAAAGGTTTTTTTCCATTGTCTCACCCTGCACAAGTCCTTGTGCCCTAGTACCCAATATTTCTTGGGTCGAATTGCTGAACATGGTGCTAATAATGAGACAATGAAACATTTGACAAAATATGTACAGACACCAACTAGTTTTCTCTCTCGGTCTTCTCTTTTCATTTCATTTCATTATTTTTCTAACCATGTAGGAGGATGTGGAGGAAGGAAAACAATTAGAGGGGATAAATTGTCTCCAAAATTCATTTGCTGCCTCCACCCCACACTTTGTTGCTACCTTACACACCAGCTCATAAAAAAGATCTCAAGCTGGGCCAAAGCTAACAAGAAAATGAGTGCATGCCAGTCTCAGAAATAAATAGATGTGTCGCCTTCAACATAAAAGAATTATTATAAGAATGTCTTGTTATCATTAGAAGACTGCCACCAGCCTCCCAGGGCTTTTCAATTCTCTCTCCCTGGAGGGCCATCCTCACAGGAAAGACTATTCTGAGGTTTATCTCTTCTATAAAACCTGCTTCATGACTTGAGAATTTTCCAGAAGGAAAGGATCCCAGTGTTTGTGGCAGAATTGAGAAGGTAGCTTATTTATTTATTTGATTAGTGACAGAGACAGAGAGAGTGCACCCCCAATTGGGTCTTGATGCCACAATCAAGCCCAGCTTCAGCCAGCACCAGATTATGGGGAGACATGTGCCCGGCATACTCAGGGAGGTCTCTGGACACAAACCCTGAACCTTCCCGTGTGGGTTAGCCTTCGAAAGCACTGCAATTACTGCTAAACACTGTACATTCTGTCTTACCTACCTATTCTAATGCTCCCCTCAATTCCCATAGTGACCCCAGCACTCTGACCAGCCAAGGCATGTTCTGGTCACCTCAATGACAGGTTCTAGTGTGAACAGCATCGCCACTACAGCTGTACACTATGAAGGCAACCCAGAGGCAGCCCCTCCCAAATCCTTTTTCCTCACCTTTTCCCAGTGTAAGACAGAGAATTAAAATAGAATAAAAATTAAAAAGGTTTTTAGGGCAAGAGCCTAATATATCTAAAATTAGAAAACTTCAGAGCTGAGTAGAAGCCTTTGAGGTTATCTGTAACAGCTGACTCACTGGTAGGAAAATGGAGACCCAAGAATAATAGGGAGGAGGCTGCAAACTAGCAATCAACACCTGCCACAGCTGAGACCAGAACCCAGGTCCCTCGGGCATGAGAGGCTCGTTCCACTCCACATGAAGCCCTAGAAGGGAGAGCACCACAAGAGAACCAGTGTGGAGCTGAGCGTAGGCCTAGGCACAGCTTCTCTCCAGGTAGACACCATGCTGAGCCTCTGTCCTCCATTAAAGATTTCACTTGAGACTTCCCATCCAGCCTCTCTACTAGTCTCCCAAATACTCCATTCATTTGGCAAATCACTCAAGTCATGTACATCCTGTGTCAGGTACTCTTCTGAGCAATCAAGATACACTGCTAATTTACAGGCATGGTCCTGGCCTTGTAAAACTTGTAATCTAGTCACAAAGGCGAAGCTAAAGCGGTAAAGAAACAAGTATCTGCAATCACTCGTGATACATGCTATGGAGAAAAGGACAGGGTGGAGAAAGAGAATCGAAGGTCAGGTTAAAGCAAGACCTACAGAAGTCCTTTAACAACCAGGAGAAGCACATCCCGGGAAAGGGAGAAAGGATTGGGAAAGGGAGCCAGCTGGAGGTGCGGTGAGGGCACCTGGATCCCATGTGGCCGACCACACAGTTTGGAGTCCCAACCCAGCACACCAAAGATCTTGAGCGGAGATAGGATCGTGGCATGAATGTACCCTCACTTTCTCTCTGATGAGCAGAGGCACCTATTGCAAAATTTAAAAAAAAGAAGAATCAGGAAAGGCACCAGAGCACTGGTGGTTTTTGAACTCAAACATACAACACACTCACCTGGAGGACCTGTTGCACAGCGGATGTCCCCACTCCTAAGTTCTCAGCAGGAGGCTGGAGGAGGGACCAAGAGGTTTGTGTGTGTGTGTGTGTGTGTTTTGAAGGGGTTTTTGCTATAGGGTGCATGCGCTCACCAGAAAGACAGAGAGAGACAGAAAGCAAGAAATCACCCCCTAGGAGGGATGACCACGCCACGCCGCAATCCCTTATCCTCCATTCTCCTCTCAGGATCTTGGACACGAACACACACACGCCCGGCGTGAGTTTAAACCACCAGGTCCGAGACTCGAACTGTGGTCAACTACATGGGAGTCCAGCGACATAGCCATTACGCTAACTGCTGGTCCCAAGAGTTTGTATTTTTAAAAATTATTTATTCAATTTACTTATTCATTCACTTATTTTAATTTGGCCAGAGAGAGAGAGAAAGACAGAGAAGGCAAACCACCAAGTTCTGGACTCAAACGATGGCTAGCCATGTGGAGTGTCTAGTATTATATTTTTTTACTTTTTTTTTTTTGTTTTTGAGAGGGCACGTGTGCTCACCAGAAAGACAGAGAGAGACATAGAGACAGAAAGTGAGAAACCAGTCCCCGGGGGGATGACCATGCCACAATCCCTTCTCCTCCATTCTCCTCTCGAGATCTTGGGCAGGCACGCACATGTGCTTGGTGTGAGTTTAAGCCACCGAGTCCAGGACTTGAACTGCAGTAGGCTACATGGGAGTCCAGCGACATAGCCATTATGCCAACTGCTGGTCCTGGAAGTGTCTAGCACTTTAACCACCATGCCACCTGCTGGTCTCTAAGAGTTTGTATTTTAACAAGCTCCCAAGGGGATGTCTTTACTGCAAGTCCAGGACCTTGAGTGCTGATCTCCTGGGATCATAAAAGGGAGAGTGTGCTAACGTGCCCTAATGCAAAAGGATGGTCTGTGAGGGGGAAGAAGGATGGGCACGTGGAAGGCAGTGAATGCCTGGAGCAAAATGTGTAGGTCCAGTTGTGTCTAAAATAGCTGCCTTCCCAGCACTGTGGGTGGACTGGGGCTCACAGCTGAAGGGAAAAGTGCTTCTCATGCCAGAAATGAAGCTTCACCTCTAAAAGGAGGGTTTGCGATTGTTTCCTAAGTGCCTGCCCTCATTTTTTGTGTGAGTTCTCTGGGGACAGAAAAGATCAACATGCGATCTGTTAGGACAACCATCCAGTCCACTGATTCTGCTCTTGAAGAATCTCCCTTTGACCAGATGCATCTGATTAACTCCTATCTCGTCCTTTGCAAAACAGAAAATTGAATTTAAAAGCACATGTTTCCTGCTGGCTCAAACTTTGTTTAAAGGAGCAGCTAGAAAAGGTGGAAATGCCTGAGTTATGAAGGTCATCAGCTCTGGTACTGAACCTTG